AGAAGACGATTAAAACAAATAAACTGCGATGTGTGTTCAGTTCTACGTTCTAATGCTTTTCAGATAAGCCATTTTTTTATACAATTATACTCATCCTCTAAGAATTTATTGAAGTTTTCGCGGCTGAATATATGTCTAATATCCAACGTCAAACGTCGAACCAACTTTATATCGGCCGCTGGACTGCAGATCTGATGTCTGACGGTACTGTTTCAATAAGACTTTGCTGCACGCCGGAGTGTTATTGTATGTAACACAACGTAGCATCGTTAGAAAGGCTGCGTTCCAGTTCACTTTTTTAATGCCCTTCACTCGCTAACTTCCCTCCATCTCGTTTACTCGTATGTACGTCATTGATTACGTTGCACGAGTGTCCACTACTGGCGGAACCCTTGCAATAGGCTAAATTGGAACGTCCTAAGCCCTTGATCACTTAAAATCCGCTATGGAGTTGGTTTATTGTTTACATGTTTCCCCTTACGAATTTGTTTGGTGCAGCATTCTATATGTATATAGGTATGCTTGGGCTGTTATAAATGTAAAAAAAAAAATTTTCTATAGAGTTGTTTGGGGTGGGGATAAATTAAAAACGATTTGCGATGACGTCATAGTCGTGTTGCATTGTGGTCTACAGAGCGGCCTGAAGTGTGCATATGAAGCAGACTCGCTCCCCCTTCAAAATCGAGGGGTCGAGGGTATGTCCATGTAAACTTCCCTTGTCCACTTGACGAAGTGGAACGCACTTCAAAATGGCGGCGGGGATTCCCCCGAGGGTAAGTGCTTAGGGAAGTTCGCAAGTGCGTGTCTAAAAGTGAACTGGAACGCAGCCAAAGTGAATAATGATTGGTCATTTTACTGTCTGTCAGGTGCTGGCTTCACATCTGAGTGGCTTGTCTTAAAGAGGAAGCATAAATGCAATATATGGTGTCATAATCTGTTTTGAAAAACATCGGCCACACGGAAAGACTTATCGGCCGTGCGATATATCGGTTGACCACTAGTCTAGGCTGGCAGGCATGGGCGACATTAGTGGGGGAGGGCAAGGGGGTGCAATTGCCCCCCCAAATTGTCTTCAGAGAAATGACAAACAACAAGTGCTACTCTACACTGCTCAAAACTCATGTTTGAATCATCAGTGGCAAATCCTTTAAATATGAAATTGTACCTACAGACTGTGAGTCAGAACAGCCGGCATTGTAGTCTACTCTACCAGGATCTTACAGTCCTCCATAAAATGCGCTGGACACATCTGAATATTTGGGTTGAACTGTTCTGGAACAGTGTTGTAAATACAA